AACTCAAGAGGAGGAGGCGCCCTTCAGAAGGGAGGGGCCGCAGAGGAGTAAAAGGAAGAGGAAGTGGATATCGGATACCGGACACTGACGCACAAAAGGAGGAAGTGACGAAGGAGGAAGTGAGGTAGGAGAGGCGGGCCTAGTTAGTTGAGACACCCAGTCAGAGCCACAAAAAGCCAGCCACCACCACCCCGTCACTTGCTCCTGCGCAGTCTTGCCGAGCAGCCCTCGCCCCTCTATCCACCGTCAGCGGGCCGTGGAGACCCTGAGGGGGCCGAGCGGCGCAGCGTCCTGCTGGGGACTTGGTCGACCATCGGCGGCAGGACGATCCCAGCGAATTGCCGCACATCAGATAACCCACGGCTTACACCCAGACAGAAGACGTCCAGCGGAAGACAGAGAGGGTAAGACCCCGTAGAGCTCCTCTTCCTTAGACACCCAGCCCTCCCTAATATTTTAACTCTTCCCCGGTAAAGTAAGTGAAGGAGGAGCACAGTCGCAGTGTTAGGAGAACCTCGCTTTTAGAGGACAGAAGACAACTCAAGATAATTAGATCATAGCAAAAGACAATGTCATCAGAGGGCAGGATGAATACCCCTAAAGTAAAGTTAGATAAAGAGATAAAAGACCCCAAGAATCTAGAAAGAAGAGGCTCAGGACAAGAGGAAATAAAGATGAAAGATCTTTGGAAAGAACTTCAAAAACTAACGGAAAAAATAACGGAAAACCAGGAAGAGAACAAGAAAGAACTACAGACCATCAGGGAAAGTCAAATCAAACATCAGGCTCAACTAGAGTTAATCAGAAGTGAGTTTAAAGAAGACATATGCACAATAAAAAAGGACATATCGAAAAACGCTGCAGATATAAATGGCATCAAGACTGATTGTGGCAGGATAGGGAAAGAACAAAGAAGATTACAAAGCGAGCTGGATGTCCTAACATCCAAAAATGACAAGATGACAAAGGAATTGGAACGCTTCCAACAAGAGGAGCTGGAACATTTATTAAGATTAAGAAATCTTCAGGAAGAGACCCAAGAGAACTTAAGAACAAAAATCATCCAATTGCTCGCTTCCAACATTGGTTTATCGGAGGGAGTTCTCGAGCAAGAAGTCAATCGCACATATCGAGTTCATTCTTCCTTTGCCAGCCAGAACAAGTTGGCCAGAGACGTGATTGTGCGCTTCACGCGCAAACATACAAGGGATGAAGTGCTGAAACAATCCAACAAAAACTCACTAACATGTGAGGGGAAGAAAATCATCGTTCTTAAAGAAATCCCGAAACCAATTTTGGACAGACGCAAAAAGTACTCCTTCTTGACTCAAGAACTAAAGAGACAAAATATTAAATTTAGATGGGACAAAACGGATGGGTTGATGACCACCTTTAAAGATCAAAGGTATTGGATTAAGAATGTGGAGAAAGCGAGCGAGTTTCTGCAAAGGATTAAAAGAGATCGTGACAATCCACAGTTGGAGCACTCCCCGACAAAAGGAAACACGAGGAAACGTCCACGGCCGGACACCCCGGCTAAAGAAGAAGATAAACTTGACCAAGCCCTGGCCCTGACCGTGAATCTGGAAGACGTCAAACTTGGAAAGGGGAAGGCAGAGGACATAAACAATCTTGAGCATGTCGGAACAACAAATTAATTTTCTCTCTTTAAATGTTAATGGACTTAATTCTCCTTGTAAAAGGAAAAGGATATTTCAGTATATTAATAAAGGTAAATTTCAAATAGCCGCATTGCAAGAGACCCATATTTGCCACAGGCACGTCGCGCACTTGTCCCATAGTAAAATAGGTAAAGAATTCTACTCAGCTTGCGAATCCAAAAAAAGGGGGGTTGTAATCTATGTCAGTAAAGATTTACCTGCAGAGCTAATGTTTAAGGACCAGGAAGAGAGAATAGTGGCAGTGAGAATAAAACTGGGCAGTGAAACCATTTTGGTGTGTAACATCTACGCCCCAAATGGGCCTAAATCGAAATTCCTTAAAACCCTGAAAGATTGCTTACAAAAAATTGAATATGACAGTATGGTGCTGTTAGGGGATTTTAATGGGATATTAAATAAAAACCTAGATAAAAGCCCAAGCAATAACAAAAACAGGTGCAAGGCTACTCTCCCTAAAAGTTTCCTATCGCTCAAAGAAGAACATGACCTCCATGACGTATGGAGGCACTGCCACCAGGATGTGAAGGACTATACGTTTTACTCGTCCCGACACCAATCATGGTCGAGGATAGATATGATTTGGGCGTCGAATTCAGTCC